AAAAAAAAAAAAAAGAAAGGATACATTGTTGGCCAGGTGTGGTGACTCATGTCTGTAATCTCAGAACTTTGGGAGGTTGAGGTGAGAGGATCACTTGAACCCAGTTTAAGATCAGCTTGGACAGCATAGCAAGACTCCATCTCAACATAACATAACATAATATAACAACATAAATAAAATAAATCTAGGTGTAAAGTGGTATGTACCTGTAGTCCAAATTACTTGAGAGGCTGAGGTAGGAGCATCACTTGAACCCAGGAGTTCCAGGCTCCAGTGAACTATGATGATGCCACTGTACTCCAGTGTGAGTGACAGAGTGAGACTGTCATCTCTTAAAAAAAAAATTTAAGTACTAAATATTATTTTGATTTATTTTGAGACAGAGTTTCACCCTCAGTAGAGTGCCGTGGTGTCACAGCTCACAGCAACCTCTGACTCCTGGGATTAGGCGATTCTCTTGCCTCAACCTCCCAAGTAGCTAGGACTACAGGCACCTGCCACAATGCCCGGCGATATTTTGTTGCAGTTAGGCTGGGGCCAGGTTCAGACTCACCACCCGTGGTATATGGGGCTGGTGCCCTAACCACTGAGAAACAGGCATCACTCACTAAATTTTATTTTTTTTATTTTTTTATTTTTTGAGACAGAGCCTTAAGCTGTCACCCTGGGTAGAGTGCCATGGCATTATAGCTCACAGCAACCTCCAACTCCTGGGCTCAAACGATTCTTCTGCCTCCGCCTCCCAAGTAGCTGAGACCATAGGCGCCCACCATACCGCCTGGCTATTTTTTGGTTGCAGCTATCATTGTTGTTTGGCGGGCCTGGGCTGGCTTTGAACCTGCCAGCTCAGGTGTATGTGGCTGGTGCCTTAGCTACCTGAGCTACAGATGCCGAGCCTAAATTTTATTTTTAATATCAAAAAAGAATACATTCTTAATACCCAGAAAAATATCTTAAATTCTTCTCTTCCTAACTTCACTTTTCTTTGTATTTTCCTCAACACTGCTCTTCTTCAAAATTGTCTTATTTATTATTAAACGATACACACCTTCCCTAAAAGAAGATAACTTGATTCTTAACACCTTTTGGCCTTTACTAGAAATCTGTTTTTTTCCCTCCCAAGAGTAAAAACACCTAGCCTTTCTTGTCATTTTTCTGGTCTGTACTTTTTCACCTGCATAACTTGATGAACATAATAAAACAATCTGGAACCAAATAGGAGGATAGAGTATTTTCTTGACATTGTAAGTGAAGAAAAGCTAGACATATTAAGTACCCTATTTTTTTGTTCTGGTTATATTCCTTCATGTAAAGAATTGTGATCCTGATACTCCTCTTTTAGCTTTGGATGTGGATGTTTATATTCATTTTTTCAAAAAAAGCTTTTCAGGCTTGGGGTCTGTAGCACAGTGGTTACAGTGCCGGCCACATGCACTGAGGCTGGCGGGTTTGAACCTGGCCCCAGGCCAGCTAAGCAAGGCAACTGCAACAAGAAAATAGCCAGACGTTGAAATGGGGACCTATAGTCCCAGCTACTTGGAAGGCAGAAGCAAGAGAATCGCTTAAGCCCAAGAGTTTGAGGTTGCTGTGAGCTGTGACACCATGGCACTCTTTGAGGGCGACATAGACTCTGTCTCAAAAAAAAAATTTTTTTTAGAAATTTACTTTTGAGAACTTGTCAAAATTTTATTTCAAACTTGCTGCCAGGGAGAAAAATGAACCAGGCTACTAATTCAAAGATTCCGCTCTGCATGGAGACATAAGAAAACAAAAGTAGTTAGAGAAACAAGAAAATCTTTTTTTTGAGACCGTGTCTCAAGCTGTTGACCTCCGTAGAGTGCTGTAGTGTCATAGCTCACAGTAACCTCAAGTTCTTGGGCTTAAATTCTTTAAGATTCTCTTGCCTCAGCCTCCCAAGTAGCTGGGATCACAGGTATCTACCACAACACCTGGCTGTTTTTTGGTTGCAATTATCATTGTTTAGCAGGCCCGGGCAAGCTCAAACCCGCCAGCCTTAACGTATGTGGCCCCGTGCCTTATGCTGAGCTATGGGCACTGAGCTCAAGAAAAGATCTTGTTAAAAATATTTAGACTTTTTAAAATTTTTTTTAGAGACAGAGTCTTACTTTGTTGCTGTTGGTAGAGTGCTGTGGTGTCATAGCTCACAGCAACCTCCAGCTCTTGGGCTTTGGCGATTCCCTTGCCTCAGCCTCTCGAGTAGCTGGGACCATAGACACCCGCCACAATGCCCGGCTATTTTGTTGTTGTTGTTGTTGCAGTTTGGCCGGGGCCAGGTTTGAACCTGCCACCGTGTGGATGTGGGGCCAGTGCCCTACTCGCTGAGCCACAGGCACCACCTAAAATCTTTGGACTTTTGACTGTCAGTAGAGTAGGTAGATAACTAAGTTCCCAGAAGAACTTTCTTAAGCTGGTTAAAAATTCATCCAAAATGGATTATACTCTTTACCAGGAATGTTCATTTCTTCCCAGAAAATATCACACAAAAAGTTCTGTTTTAGTTAGTGTTTGGTACAAAAATATTTCTTTACACTATATTCTGCCTTGCATTACACCTGTCTCTTTAGGTTCTGCCTTCTTGCTCCTGTTATTCCCCTAACTTGAAATGCTTTCCTATTATTTCTTTTTTTTTTTTTTTTTTTTTTTGAGACAGAGCCTCAAGCTATCCTCCTGGGTAGAGTGCCATGGCATCACAGCTCACAGCAACCTCCAACTCCTGGGCTCAAGTGAGTCTTCTGCCTCCACCTCCCAAGTAGCTGGGACTACAGGCGCCCACCACAACGCCCGGCCCTTTTTTTGGTTGCAGCCATCATTATTGTTTGGCGGGCCCAGGCTGGGGATTCGAACCCGCCACCTTAGGTGTATGTGGCTGGCGCCTTAGCCGCTTGAGCCACAGGCGCCGAGCCCGTATTATTTCTATTTCTCACGTACATAGTCTTTTATGGATTAGATTTTATCTTTTCGTCAAATCACTGATGACTTCTTCATCCTTCAGTGATACCTACTTAAAACTTGTAATTTGCACAAATAGTGCCTTGAAATACTGTTCAAAGACATTGGCTTGAAATAATAGTAGTTGGCTTGGCACCTGTAGCACAGTGGTTATGGCACCAGTCACATACACCACCGGTGGCAGGTTTGAACTCGGCTTGGGCCAGCTAAACAACAATGACAGCTGCAACAAAAAATAGCCTGGTGTTGTGGCAGGCGCCTGTAGTTCCAGCTATTTGAGAGGCTGAGGCAAGAGAATCACTTAAGCCCAAGAGTTTGAGGTTGCTATGAGCTGTGACACTATGGTACTCTACTGAGGGCAACAAAGTGAGACTCTGTCTCAAAAAAAAAAAAAAGAAAGAAAAAAAAGAAATAATATGGTAATCACAATAATGTAAGAACTCAGTGTAAATGTATAAACAGCTGAAAAAGTACTTTGTTTTTTCATTCTGCTTTTGAACTGTATGAGATTAATATGTTAATTGTAATAAACATTGTATCCTTTATTCCTTCTTTTTTTTTTTGAGACAGAGTTTCAACCTGTCTCCCAGGGTAGAATACCATGGCATCATAGCTCACAGCAACCTCAAACTCTGGGGCTGAAGGGATTCTCTTGCCTCAGCCTCCCAAATAGCTGGGACCCCAGGTGCCCACCACAATGCCCGGCTATTTTTTTTTTTTTTTTTCAGTTGTCATTGTTATTTTAGCTTGCCAAGGCCAGTT